CTCGCTACGCTCCGCAATGGCAAGCCAGTGGACAAGGACAGGCGCCTGGTCCAGATGACAATCTTCATCTACGACTATGGCATCATATGCTCTGACAGTCGCGTACGGAACGCAACGGTTGGAAACAAGAACCTGCGCCAACCTGTACTGCTCCCGCCGAAACACGCCTTCACTAGGCTGCTTATGCAGCAACACCATGTCTGGTCACTACATCAAGGATAGGATCGCGTAGTGAACGAGCTGCGTCAGAAGTACTGGGTACCCGGTATCCGTGCAGCGGTAAGAAGCACCTGGAGCGAGTGCCAGCATTGCAAGAATCTCCGTGCCAAACAGCAGCCACCAATCATGTCCGCCCTGCCAGAGTGCCGCACTGACGCCTTTCAGCGACCCTTCACACAGACAGGACTGGACTACTTCGGCCCGCTGTCTGTCACTGTTGGGCGCAGACATGAGAAGCGGTACGGCGCTCTCTTCACTTGTCTCGCCAACCAAACCGTTCACGTGGAGCTAGTGCACGACCTGTCCACCGACTCAACGTTAATGGCTATCCGGCGAATCATCAGCAGGCGAGGCTACTCACTGGTGATCCACTCAGACAACGGAACCAACTTTAAAGGCGCCGCCAAAGAGCTCCACCAGGCCATTCGGGAGCTGAATGAAGCCCCGCCGGCGGCACCCCACACAGGCGGAGCCTGGGAGCGGCTCGTTGGATCCATCAAGATCGCACTTCACGCATGCTCTATGACTGGACGTGCTTTCGTAGAGCTCTCATGCCTCCCGCACTTCTGCGCTGCAGCTAGCTGCACTGTTTTTTTTCTTCTCTTTTTCTTTTTTTTCTTGTTTTTGTTTTGTTTTGTGCGTCCATGGACCATCCACCTTTGTTTCTACTCGGATAGCACAATAGTTGCTAGGTTTGAATATAGTCTTCTTCGCTTCCCTTCACTTCCTGTTTACATGTTCATGTTAACTCTTCCACGGTTGGTAACCAGGGGGAGAATGTTGCTGCATGACTGCACTAACTCGCAGCATCCTTTTCGTTTGTGCTTTACCCGTTTGACCATCCACTGTGTCACCTCCGTAAAGAGGACCATACTACGCTTTTCCTTACACGTACGACTCACTTTGTAAACCTTTTCTTATAATCACACAACTACCGAGAACAGAGACAGATCAATAAAGAACACCTTCTAATGAACAAGAGAAATTCTGAGCTTGTGTCTGTTACGAGGGTTGTGCCACGGGCCACTGAGATCTCATCAAATCAGGTTGCATATTGATATCACATTGTGATTCTCAAATTGATTCGTGTCTGTTAGTTGGAGAGGTAGATCTACTAGATGCGAAAATGCAACAACAGTGCTGACGTAAAATAATAAATTCTACTACTACTACTACTACTACTACTACTACATCCAGCGTGGAGTTGTAAATAATTGACTCCGCCTGGAATGCACGATCCCAGCAGTGTTGTTCCGTACTGACTGGATCATCGAAATCCAAACGGGTACCATTTTACTACCGGTACCTGAGATAACCGAGCGGGTACCCAGGTACCCAGTACACCACTAGAACAAAACCAGCGGATACCCAGGTACCTAGTAGACCACTAGAACAAAACCAGCGGATACCCAGGTACCCAGTACACCACTAGAACAAAACGAGCGGATACCCAGGTACCCTGGACACCACTAGAACAAAACCAGCGGGTACCCAGGTACCCTGGACACCACTAAAACAAAACCAGTTCTTCACCAACACATACATCTGGCGTTTTAAACAGTGCTGCCAAACCGTCCGATTTTTCGGACAGTGTCCGATTTGTGAAGGCTCTTCCGAAAACCGGTCCGAAAAAGGAAACGTCCGAAACGTAGCCCAAAATGCCAGGGATCAGTACTCTCCTATTCAGAAGTCCTGTATTTTCTTTTTTGAGCGCAACTGAAGGCACAAATCACTGTCATGTGCTTCTAAAAGGCTAGCGCTTGGCGGTGGAAGTGCAAAGTACGAGGGTATGTACACTGTACAGTGTGTGACCACGCTCATGCATTACTAGGATTACAGAATTCAGGCATGGCAACCGATTACTTCGGTGTGCAAGATCAGTTACCATGGCAACGAAGCGAATTTCCATGGTATTTTGGGCGGTATTTTGAATTCTCCGGAAAATATTGCAGAGGAGAAAAATTCGCACCATGTGGCCAGCCTTGGCGATGAAGGGTGTCCGATTTTGGGCGAAAATTATTTGGCAGCAATGCACGGTTTAGGTGTGTACACGTGCTTGAAGCGGCCCACAAGTAAATCAAATAATGGCTTTACCTTTATCAGACGACCATCCTGGCTATCGGCTTCATTGTTTGTGAAGGGCAGGCATTGCACGATGCGTTGGAAATGGTTGCGCATCACAGTGAGGGCCTGAAATGCAGGTGCGCCGACCGTAGCGTCAGAGCTCCAATAATAGGTTCATTTGGGACTTGTACACCGGACCACTCAGTAAGTAAAGAGCAATAAATATCTTCATCTCTACCCCTGTCACTGGCATGCCGGGAAGTAGGCTGGAAAATGGCCCAGCCGTGGAACGGGCTATGCACTGCGCTGTATACCGGTTCGTTTCGGTGACGAGCAGCTGCCAGAATTACAGTACATGTACAAAGTATAAGTTCAAAAACCAGTATGCTGTGGCATCATCTGCTGGCTGTACTGGGATTCCAGGCCGTGAAGAGAATTCAGGAATAGTAGGTTTGTCATTCTCTTTCGTCCAAGCTGCATCGTCACGTGCTGCAGGAGAATTGTCTGGTCCATGTACACAAGTTTGTGCATCAAAAACGCTGATCATGAGGAAATATTAAAATATTTCCTCATGATCAGCGTTCGTGTCTGCGTCCTGCGCTGGCGTAACTTGTGCTGATGCGCCCTGCTCAAGTTCGACATCGACATCTCCGATATCCTCAGGGCTGTCCAAGGCGACCACGGCAGTAGGTACGACATCCACCACGGCGGACACGTCCGCGAAATTAAATTTGTTCCGTCGCGATCGCGCACGGCTATGTCCGCATCTGAGTCATCGGCTCCACTATCGCAGCTCCAGTCATCACTGTCTGTCCGAGTCCATGGCATGATGGACTGGATCACTTCTTCAGCCGACATGCGGCGTCTCGCCATGTCTGAGTGACAGCTAATCGGAATCGAGATAATTATTATGTTTTTCGAGCGCGCTCTGAATGTACGTGCCCGCGCCCGTACTTTGAAACACGGGGTAAGGTCTTATCCAGTAGGGGGAAACCCCTAGTTTCCCCTCGAAGAGCCATAATCATGATAATCGGCCACGGTCTGTGACTGGTGACCATGGTGACTAGTGCGGTGCGAGGACGAGACATACGTGTATGGTCGCACGTTTGGCTGCTGTATGCTAGCCCGGTGGGTGCGCCAATCTCCAGCATAACCATGTGCAAAGACTTAAATCATGACATGATGTTGCACTGGTCTGCTTCGTCCTGGTTTCACAACTCTGTGCATTGCAGCCGTGAGCAAAACCAGCTCAGGCTGAGAGATCCCTCCGGAGCTCCATCTTGTCCACAGTGCGCTGAGCCCTCTCAGATCGGTCATGGTCATTATTATTGGCATGCCAAAGTGCGCATTCTGAGCCCACTCATCACATCGGTCATGGTCTTTGGCATGTCTCTGGCAGCAGCGCTTGCCTTGACTGCTCACTGCTGTGGCCAGGTTTAATTTCTGTCGTCCACCCACAGCAGTGACATGTCCACTGCTACCTGTATTCCTGCTGTTATTACGATACTTACGATGATGGGTAGCACGGGTACCCTACTACCCGATGACATCCCTCCTTACACTAGTTACAGTGCAGCTGTACTGGTGCCGAGGAAGTACCGGTTGAGAGTTGTAGACTAGAACGTTCTTATTCTCATGTGGAAATTTGTATATGGCCGAGCCACCTTGTACAGACGGGTATCATATGCCTGGTAACATTCTGGTCTGTTCGTTCTTTGGTGCATTGTTCTTGATCGTCCGAGAGTAATGGTACGGCATTGTTAGGATTACGGGTCACGAGGGAGCAGAGTTTGCAATGTACTTTTATGTTTATGTATCTATGTCATTCGGATGTTCTCAAGTTGTACATTTTACTGTTGAGATACGGAATTCAAATAAATCAATACCATACCATACCATACCATACCATGTGCCTGTATCAGCTCGTTCCAGGGCTGGGATCTGTTCAAAAAGGATGTGCAAGGGATTGGTGTGTGCGTAAGCATCAGCTGTGACATTTTCAGAATGCATTAGAAGACGTGCTAGTTGAAATGAATGAAAACTGTATATTGGGTGTATTTTGTCATGGTCTCGAATGAGCCATGAAGATCAAGGAGGACTAATATTATTGCACCACGGCTCACTAGAATCACCCTGGACAAAACTGTACAACTCCGACATCACTCATAAGCACTACTACACCACGTGATGCGAGTTTTCGTTATCGCCTGACCCAAAAGGAAAACATTGTTATGTGTATAGTGCAACCCCGTTGCCAACCCGTCTCAAGTAATTGACATTATGTGGTGCGTTCTCCGAGGATTATGCATGTAGATTCTTGGTGTCACCACAGACACAGCGCGGGATGGAAGATCCTTGAATCACGTGCCCGGATAATCGGAGACTGGATGGGCTTCGCACAGTTTGTATGTCAACATGTTTAGATCATGTGATTGGTCAGGTCTCTGCTCTACTCAGAGAGTCTACTCCGGCTAGTCCTACAAACCATCCATTGTCTGCACAGCCACAAGCCTGTCACAACACCGTGTTGTCAAGAACAATCCAAAGAACGAACCTATTCAACCAATCCGCAACGTACCTCCTAGCAACCAACCAGTTGCAGTGTCTAAGCTGAATGCTTATGCCACGTTAGAGCGACTACTAGGCGCATGCGTGGAATGAAGTGCCGCGGAGACGCTGCGCTTGTTCAATCACATACATGTACATTAGATGCTGTCGTTCCTCCACTGTCTCTCTGACATTCACTGTAGTACAATCCATACTGTATACTGATTCTTTGCTTTTCCTAAGACTAAAGACTTGTGCCAAGATGCCTTCGTACAGATTTCATTCCTCATTGCATTCAAATGATGTTGTCGTGTCCTGTGACGGACGCGAAATGACACGAGTAGCTAGTGCTACCGTCGCCACACAAACCCAACCTGCCGCTGCCGCTGCCGCTCAAACTACGCCATCAGCTCCTGCTCCAAAAACGCATCGAGGTAAGTACTCGTGCCGGCGTGTACGCGTGTATGTGTGCGTGCGTGTGTGTGTGTGTGTGTGTGTGTGTGTGCGTGGTGTGTGTGTGTGTGTTACTGTGTGTGTGTGTGATGGGTGACCTTGAGTTCGTTGAAAAGATCACGTCTTATCTGAATGGACGTGTGGCTTTTTCTCTCTCCCACAGTCTACTGGATATTGTCTGAACACACACTAGTAGGCATGTGAGATGTGCACGGTAGATATCTCTAACTTGCTTATAGAGAATTCAAGAGAATGCCACGTCAAAAGTATCTAGTACTCCACGTACAGTGCTGCCCAATGAAATCCAGTCACGTCACTCAAGTTTGCACCTTGCATTATTTCTCAGCCCTGTGTAAGCAGGTCTAGGGCTGCGGAAAGTCCGGCGCGTACTTGAGTGAGGCGAACGGATTTCATTGAGCAACGCTGTCGTATCCAATAATACGGAGTGAATTGTGCTGATTGTCAGACTGTTTTGGCGATAGAAGTGCTCTGGTATAGGATTCAGTTTAGGCCCACCAGAACATACTACAGTGTAGCATGATGTACCGCAGTGGGTGTTGGTCGCACTACTAGTAGCATGAAACCGAGAAATTAGATCAGCTATTGTGGATCACGTAGAAGAGTATGAATGAATGCGAGTTTCCCTACTGTATGCCACATGTAGACCAGGTACATAGTCGCATTTGTATTCCACTGGTTTGGGCAGTGGAGATTTCTGTGCCCTTGCACATGGCTTGGTTGATCACAGTATGACCGTGCTTGGGGTCAGCAGATCATGACTGTCGTGATTCCGACCGGCCGGCCGTGCATTGCGTAGGCCACTGTACTGATCACTTAGTTGATTCCAAATTTGCACTTTGTTTCGTGTCTGTATAGACTAGTTGTTGTGTGGTGTCTCTGGTCTAGTC